ATGTTAATTTGTAATCACTCTACAGGTCGCAATTATGGCCCGATTCTCACGAAATTGAAAATGTAGGTGTGGTTAGTGTCAGAATAGAACCCTATTGCTTTTGGAGATAATCACATAATATTTAGGGGTTGAAATGGACCAAAAACTGCAGTTGCTCTACAGGTCGCAATTAAAGACCAAACGACGCGAAAGTTAGCAGATCTTAGGGTTGGGCAGAAGTCTTCCAATTTTAATGGTCATCGGGTAATACTTAGTGGGTAAAATAGACCATAACATTTGTGTTAAATAAAAGTCAAATTTTTCATTAAACCGCGAATATTTTTAAATCCGACGAAATCACAAATAGGCGAACAGGTCAATCCTGACCGCTACGTAGATGCCGATAGTAAATATATCGGATATATAAGTAGCGAAATATATACAATATGAACTATATACAAAGGAAGGGGATGTTTGATAAATTGCTTATATCTCAAAAATGGTTGGACCGATTTTGACAAATTTTGTCAAATCAGAATGCCCTCGTGGCACAAAAGACTTATAAAAAGATGCCTCTAATGATGTTAATATAGATTTTGTATTATTTTGTGACATTTTTTAATTATACCCTACAACACTATGTGTTGGGGGTATTATAAGTTTGATTGGGTCAAAAATTATGTAACATATATATTGGTTTCCCACATAGGAAAGTATATATGGATCTTCCTATCTCGCCGAGATGAGTCGATCTAGCTATGTATGGCCGTCCGTCCGTCTGTCCATGTTAATTTGTAATCAAGCTACAGGTCGCAATTATGAACTGATCCTCACGAAATTGAAAATGGGGGTGGGGTTATGGTCAGAATAGAACCCTATTGTTTTTGGAGATGATCGCACGATATTTAGGGGTTGAAATGGGCCAAAAACAGAAAAATTTCCTGATTTTGCAGTTGCTCTATAGGTCACAATTATAAACCAATCGACGCGAAAATTTATATGGAGTTGCAGTTTAGGAGTGAGCAGAAACCTACCAATTTGGGCCATCGGCCATCGGACAATAATTAGCGGGTAAAATAGACCCTAAATTTTATGTAAGAAAATAGGAAAATTTCCACTAAACCGCGAATATTTTCAACCCCAGCCAAATCACAAATACATTAAAAGATCACTTCTGACCATTACAGTGATGCTAATAGCCAAGAAATCGGATATATAGCAAAATAGGTACAATATATATGTAAAAGAATTGATCTTATTTATTCTGCTTATAAATCAAGAACCGCTGGGCCGATTTTCACAATTCCCATCAATTCGGAATGGTCTTTTGCCAGAAATTCAGAAAATCTAAGAAAATATACCAATAAAAAAGTGAATATTTTTTGTTCCATTTTTTTCAATTCTTGCCATATTTTTCATCGGATGCGATTTTTTCAATTTGACTTACATTTTTGAATTGTAATTTTTCTAAATGTTTACACCCTTCAACTCTACGTTTTCAGGGTATTATATGCATGTCGCAATTATCGTCCGATCCTCACGAAATTTGGCATGGGGGTAGGGGTAGGGTAAGAATTAAAGCCTATTGTTCCTAAGATGTACATTTAGACTAAAAAATTTAAATTTTACTAATTTCGTAGTCGCTCTATAGGCCACAATTGAAACTAATCGCATCGGAAGAGAGTTAAGGACAGGGAAGAAGTCTAACATTTAGCTGTAAAATGGACCACAAGTTTTGCCAAATTCTCCGGGCCAAAAAACTAAGGGTAACCTCTAAGCGGGGCTCTTTGACATTATTTCAAAAACGAAATCTTCCAAAATGGATTTGGATATAAGGGGACTTCAAACTTATTGTAGTGTTGTAGGGTATCACATGGTCGGCACCGCACGACTATGGCCTTTGCTTACTTGTTTTTTCATATTTTTGTATCGCATGCAATTTTTTCAATTTGACTTATAATATTGAAGTGTATATTTTGTAATATTTTTTTCGCCTTACAACACAGGTTGGGGTATACAGATTGTAATTATCATCCGCTCCTCACGAAAATGTTCACAAGGTTAGGGTTAGGCTCAGAAGGGCTAGGCCTATTGTCTGCAATATATTTAGGGGTTGAAATGGACCAACAACTAAAAATGTTCCTGTTTTTGCAGCCGTTATAAAGGTCACAAATAGAAACGAAAGTACACAGTACACGAAATCTCGCATAAAGTTAGAGATTAGGACAGCGGGTTGAATGGACCACTACTTTTGTGTGAAAAAATACCAACATTTCCAAAAACGCTGAAAATAACTTAGAGGCGAAATCTAAAATACACAAAAGGCGAACTTCTGGCTTTTTTTTGCCGATTTCGTTGACGAGTATAGCCAAATATCGTAAAGAAGATTAGTCTCAATTTGGTAATACAGTGGAACCTCTTGCATTTGGAGATGATTGGGTTCAAATGAACCAAAAACAGAAAAAATTTCCTGATCACACAATTGAAGCCAATCGACATGCCTGAGAAGAGAGTTAAGGACAGGGAAGAATTCTAGCATTTTGGATGACTATTGGATTATATTTAGCTGTAAAATGGACCACAACAACTAACAGCACGACGGAGTGTGTAAATATTGGGCAAATGTCCCTGTTCAAAATGCTAAGGGTAATATCTGGGCAGTGCTCCGTGACATAATTTCAAAAGCAAAATCTTCCAAAATGGATTTGGACATGAAGGGGCTTATAGCATATTGTAGTGTTGTGGTCGGCCCCGCATGACTATAGTCTTTGCTTACTTGTTTTAATATAATCCTCGAAGTGTATGATATCACTTCCGATCTCCACGGATCCAGAAATGTCTCCGTGAAACTCTCTGAAATCAATATATAACTGCTCAAAAGCCAAATATTGATAGGTGGTATGATCTACGTCAAATAAATTCTTTTTTTTTAAGGGAGCTCTACTAAATGTGCATAGTGGTGTAGTAGGTTCCGAACGACTTATGACTTTTCCTTACTACTATAAATATAATATATGTATATCATGTACAGTATATTTTTATGTAGTATACCTTTTCTTTTATGTTTTATGCTTAAAAGTCAGCTACAAAAATATTATTTTTTAAATGTGAAAAAAATCACTTTATAAATGACTCTAACACGTTATAGAAACTGGTTTTAAGCTGATGTCTTGTCCATCGAGTTCGAGTTGAATTTTCACCATAGTTTTTTCGCGCCTCACAGTATGCTATGTAGTTGTGTATCACAAAGGGTGTTCGTTATTTCCATTACGAAGGTAGAGTCATATGTTTAGTGACATTTTACTAAGAATTTTTTATTTAAAAGAGGCTTAAAAATCAGCTACAAAAATTTTATTTTTTAAATGTGAAAAAATCAGATATATCGGTTTGGTGTAGTCTCCATATAACCTACCTTTCGATATTCGGTTTTTGGTTGATTTTTGCCACATTTTTCCATGTATTTATCTAAAAATTGGTATTTGCAGGTCATAATGGGTTCTAGCTCGTGTGGCGAAACATTGCATGTATAAGTCCAAGTTTTGGTATAGCCCCCATATAACGGTAACTCCCGATATTCAGTATTTTGGTATTTGTTGGTCATAATTGGTTCTAGCTCCGGGGGCGAAACATTGTATGTGTAGGTTCACGTTTTGGTATAGCCCCCATTCAACGGTACCTCCCGATATTCTGTATTTTGATGGTTTTTGTCACATTTTTTCACTGATTTGTCTGAAAATTGGTATTTTTAGGTCACATTTCTTCGCGGATTTGTCTGAAAATTGGTATTTGTGGATCCTAATAGGTTCTAGCTCCTTTAGCGAAACATTGTATGTATAGGTCCACGTTTTTGTATAGCCCCATATAGCGGTATTTCCCGATATTCGGTATTTTGATGATTTTTGAAACATTTTCCCATGAATATGTCTAAAAATTGGCATTTGTGGGTCATAATGGGTTCTAATGTTTCCTTTACCCTAACGTGGAGGGTATTAATTAAAAGTTCGACGCGGCCGGACTTAATATTTTTTACTTGTTTAAATAGAAATGCCACTCTGTATGAAGCATTTCTTAGTTTAAAAATTATTGAATGCGCCTGTAAATATGCCACACAATACTAAAAATTAGTGTGAGACGTCACTAACTAACATGACGTGTAAACTATTCTTAAGCTACTCTATTTAATATGAAACGTCGTTATTAGCACTTCAAAAAACAAATGTTTCATATCAATCCGTTTTTTTTTTTCTCTTATAAACAAGTCTCCAGAACACTAGTCGCGCTGATAAAATTGTCTGCTTTTCCTTGTACGGCAATACACCCACTTAATTTGTTCATATTTTCAGAATTGTAAAGATTGATTATAGTGATTTGTGTGTATACGTGTCTTTTTTCGGTTCGTCTTAATGTTTGACTCACTATAAGCAGAAAATGCTATTAAACCATGTGTTGTACAGACTACACACAGTTTATCGCAAATGTATTAATGTATTCTGGCGCAGTTTAAAGTCTTCAAAAAAGCATGCATCACTTTATTGTAATGACGTTTTTATTAATTGTTAAACATAATCGCTATACAATTTTTATGAATTTAAAAGCTATTACTTGGTCATTTACCTTCAACATATATTAACGATGAACCCGGCTTATCTATAAATAAACAAAACGTTAATATATAAGTGTACAAACACATGAATATTTTGGCAATATTTAATTTAAAATAAACAGTGGTTTTTATCTCCACATTGTAGACATTTTAAATGCCCTGCTTCATCAATACTATCCAAAAGATAAGAATGCCCCCGACAATATTTTAAAAATAAGAAAGCATGTTTGTGTTAATTGGAGAAGTGACAACCATAAAGATGATAATGCTTTGAAATCATCATAATGGAATGATTAAATAGGCAGAGCTCGATTTATTCAATTATATATAAATCTTTTCATGGTTAAGATTCTTTAAGGACAATACCAACAACAATTATAATAAAACACTACGCTTCCAGATAAATAAAACCATTGGCTTTACTAATATTTCTTTTATTTAATTAAATTATATTTAGTTGTTGTTTTTTATAAAAAAATAATCTATGAAATTAATGACAGTCTTATGAAAAAGAATTAAGTGATTTGGTTGTAAAATACAATATGAAATGAGGAAGAAGTTGTTGGTGGAATTTTGTTGTTCTTGTACTTAGAATGTAATTAAACCCCTTTACAATTCGTCTTTAATATCATCCAAATCAACATCGGAAAGATCAATTTCCTCTTCTTCGGGTAGTTGACCATCTTTACCATCCCAGGCAGGTACAGTGTTAATGGCAGGTTTTTTAGCTCCCTTAACTGGCGCCGTTTGACCACGGCCAAAGGAAATATCACGCAAGAATTCATTAATGCCATCCTTGGAGAAGGAACCTTTTAGTACAGAGAATTTCATTTTCTTGAAATTAACAACAGCCATGGCAGGATAACCGAAACCACCAATCTCCAATGCGGATTCCAATTCAGGTTGAGCCACTGCTTCAGCCCATCCCCAGCCCCAGGCTTTTTGTTTGAATTTTTCGCCCAACTCACGAAGGGTTGACAAGAACTTATTACGGCATTTGGCGTCACAGTCAAGAATGTGGGGCAACACGGAGATAACGCACAATGGCTTGCCTTCACAAGCAGAATCAAATGAAGTTTCATCAATGATCTCGACCAGTTCTGGAGGTGGAACGTTAGCAGCGTGCTTGTCCAAAGCCCATGTAACAATGTCCGAAGAAGTACGGCCACCATCATATTCTTGAGCATCTGAAGAGGATTTCTTGCCAGCTGGGAAATATTTGATTGTGGGATAACCTCTAACACCATATTCTGCAGCCTTGCTCTGGTGAACCGTAGCATCTAAGGCACCCAACTTGACTTTGCCCTTCAACTCTGTGGCAGCTCTGGCCCATTCGGGAGCCAAATTCTTGCAATGGCCGCACCATGGAGCAAAGAATTCAACTAACCAATCATCTTCGGATTGCAACACCAATTTGTCAAAGTTGTCGTCAGTCAATACAATTACATCACCGCTGCCTCCATCTTCACCGCTAGAAGAGCTGCCGCCGCTGCTACCGCCACCGAAAGCAGCTTGTACTTTTTTCTTGGCTTCAGCCATAGCCGCCTCTGCAATAGCTTTAGCTGTGCGCTGGCCATTGTAGTCTGTGGGTGAGCGTTTGTTTGCACCGAAAATCTTAATTGTTGGGAAACCCCGTACGCCATATTGACCGCCCAACGATTTATGCTCATCTGCATCAACAGCACCAACTTTGATAACGCCCTTCAATGCTTTAGCCAACTTCTTATATTCAGGAGCCAAACTTTGACAATGTCCACACCAGTTGGCGTAGAATTCAACCACCCAAATTGCATCGTCTTGAATAACGAGACGATCAAAATTAGTGGGAGTCAATTCAACGACAGCATCGCCGGATGAGTAAAAACCCCAAACAGATGGCACAGCCACCGACAGCAAAAGACACAAAAGTCCTGGAATAGAACAGGTTCCAATTATTTTACTATTCAGCCAATTTTAGATCCATTCACTAACCTTTTATCTTCATTTTATATTTTGTTGATTATCTACCGCTATAAATACTTCTAGAATGTTGAAGTTCTCACAAAGCAAAAAGCCGGTGACGTTGACAAGTTTCTCTATTGTTGTTAATTAAAAAAAAAATAGAAAGAAGAAGCAATGTTAAATTGAAGAATAATAATTTCACGATTTACGGTATTTCTTACAATATAGTAAATGTTTGTCTTATATCTTGTTACTTTTAAATTAAAAATTAAACTAACAAATCCTCATATGTTTACCTTACTTTGTTACTTTGCAGAATGTCAAATCTCTCTCTACACAGACGTAGACGTTTGTGATTGGTCAATTTTACGCTCTAGCTAATGCCAACTATTAAAACCTGAAAAATCGCTAAATCTGTGGTTGGTGTTACCACTTGTTTTAGAAAACGAATAAGAAACATATTGCCACATGTTGAAATTTTTGAAAGTATGGTTAAGAAAAAACGCAGACACAGAAATTTGAAATTGGTATTGGCGCAACAAAAAGGTGTATACCTCTATTAGCTGATAATAATTTTTTTCTGAGCGTACTCGACTTCTGCCAAATATAGTTTGTGTATTTATTGTTTTGAAAAATAAAAACCATGGGTCGCTTTTTTATAGAAAATCCCGGTATTTCCTCAATCATTCATATTATCAATTTAAAATATTTGAAATAAATAAGAACAATTTTTAATTATTCTAACAGGCATTTGTCAGAGCCTCAGGGCTACATTTCATTAGTTTTACAAATTATAAAGAAATTATTTTTCATTCAAGAAGAAGTATCCATGTCCTGCTTTGAGTCCTAATTGCACCTTTATAGGAACATATTACAATCGGTATTGCAGCATGCTGCTTTGGTACTTTCTGGAAAATGTTTTTATTAATTGCTATCATTGTAGAACTAAGAAGGTAAATTTTTCAAATTTTTTACATTGACAACATTTCAATGTCAAAATCTATATTCATAAATCCATTGTGTACACACAAAATCAACGATGGGAACTGTTTTTTATGCATTGAAATTTGACAAGGTAAATTACAGAAAATGCAGAGTTGGGAATGCTAATTTGAAATGAGGTTACCTTTATTTCATTGTACCATGATTGCTACGTTTACCCATGGTAAAATTAAGAAAGTATAATCATTTCAAAAAAGACTGTCCTTCTCTGCATTTTCTGCAATTTACCTTGTCAAAAACAGATTCCCATCTCTGATTTCTCTGCATACAATGTATTTATAAATATAAATTTTGTCGTTGTTGTCAAACGAATAATTTTGAAAAAAAAAAAAAAAAAAATATATATAAACATATGATTGCATTACTTTACCTTCTTAATTCTACCATGCGTATACCTATAACCAATTACGTTGACAGCAACGAAATCCATTGGCCGAATGCATTGTCTATGTAGGACAATTATTTTCCTACAATGTTGATATCTATTGTTAGTCTATAATACCAAATTTAAAAAAAAAAAAAACAATTCCGTGGAAAATTGTAACTTGAATCATGAAAATACCGAATATCGGGTAGAACTTTTTATGAGCTGCAAGTATCGAATTTTAAATTTTAAATCCGTTAAAAAATGAATCGTCAACAGCGTGCCCGTTGTGCCACTAAAGTATCAATTTTGCCACTTTTTTGGGCTTTGATACCTTTGTGCCACTTTTTTTATTTTGATCCTAAATGAGCCACTTTTTGAATTTTTGTGCCACTTTTTTATACATTGTGCTACCTTTTTTATACCCTCCACCATAGTAGGAAGGGTGTATTAAGTTTGTCATTCTGTTTGTAACACCTCGAAATATACATTTTAGACCCCACATATTCTTGCTCAGCATAAAATTCTACGTCGATTTATCAATGTCCGTCCGTCTGTCCGTCTGTGGAAATCACTCTAGATTCCGAACGAAATGAAGTAAGTGCAGGTCAGTGCATATAACGGTACCCCCGATATTCGGCATTTGGATGATTTTAGCGACATTTTTATCGGAATTGTTTCAAACTTGGTATTTGAAGTTCGTAACAGATACTAAAGCAGGAGATTGCCTGTGTAGGTTCACGTCTTCTTATACCCCCTATATAACGGTACCCGATATTATGTATTTTGATGATTTTAGCGACATTATTTACGGGAACTATTTTAAATTCTGTATTTGAACTTCGTAATGGATACTACAGCCTATGTCGGAAAATTGTCTGTGCAGGTCCAGGCTTTATAACCCCAATGCACCACCCTATATACGGTATTTTATTTATTTTAGCTACATTATAAACAGATTTTTTTCAAGTTTCGCTTTTAAATATTATAATAGCTTATGACAAAATTTGCCTATGCAGGTCCACGTCGTCGTATAGACCCTAATATACGGCTACATTCGGTATTTTTAAGATTTTAACAGAATTTTTAACCGATTTTCTTTTTTTTTGTGAAAATTGACAAATTTTTACCACATGGTGGAGGGTATTCAAAGTTCGGCCCGGCCGAACTTACAACTTTTCAGCGGTCACACTGATCGTCAAGAATAAAATATGGACCTTCATAGACAGTGTTGTCCCACATGTGCGTTGTAAAGGATTTAGAAAAAATCCCAGTCGGTTTAAATTGTCAATTCCATTGCATGTAACTCAAATAAATCTTCATAAGGAAGTTTAACCCCGAAAAAAGCTCTAACGTAAATATGCCTTCAAATTTAAAATAATTTCTTGTAAAAATATTCCTTAAATGATCAAAATACCGAATATCGGAAGGCGCCGTTACATGGCGCAGTAGGGAAACGTGGACCTATATGGATTATGTTCTACCACCGGAGGTAGAACCTGCTACAAATTCTAAGTGCCAATTTTGAAACATTTTCGTTGCAAAAATGTGCATACCAAATATAAATCACGGTTCAACCCAGATAATTGACCAAGCACAATAAATATGACAATAGAAAACATACATTAAATTTATTATGTATGGTTTGCCTTTTTCATAGCCTCAGTCCCATCCTTCATTCTGACGTTAAAATCCTTACAGGTAGATCTCGTTACTTGCAACTTTTTCAAAGTTAGCTTATCTTGTATTCGTTGTATCCATGTTAGAAAAATACAGGTAGATGCATCAACGCTTGGGAGCATTGATATGTCAAATTTTTTTTTAATTTATTTTCAAATATAAGTAGCTTTTTATATGTTTTCTTATACGACGTCATTCGGAGGTTATTATAAAATTCCTTTTTCAACAATTTTTACAAATTTAAAAAATTTTTCATTCAACAATTTCATTTCCAAAATTGGTTTGACATTTCATTGTCCCAGCAGCTGCGTCGATGCGTCTACATATATTCTTCTACCATGATTTTATCAATGGCTCAATAAGAAAGGTTGCTCAACTTTAAAGAAACTAGAAAAATGCAACTCTGTGCTGGAGTCTTACAGTGTCAAATAGACTTTTAAATATGCAATAGTTGGTTTTGTTTACTTTCTAATTTTTACCAAAATTCTTATTATGGGGAAAACCCGCTAAACAAGAATATAATTTTGGGGTTATTCCACAAAATTAAAATTAAAATAGTAGGACAATACAGTTTTATCCCGAAATTGTACAATGTGTTTTCCATTAACGTCGAAAATATGCATTTGTTTTGCAACAGAATTCGAAATATTTTTAAATTATTGAATTTTTTATTCAAAACAATACACACGCATACACAAAATATGTATATGTTTTGGCAGAATAAGGACACCAAAAGAAAATAATTGTATTAAGGGGGTAGCTTTATTCTACCTTCTGTAATTGTGCCATGATTGTAGCCATGGTACAATAAAATAAAGGTTGGGCCATGATACCATATTATTTTATTTTTTTATTTTCTTGGCTTAATATGTCAACTTTATTTTTTCAGAAAATATTTAAATTCTCGTGGTTGCAACGTATGCATCGATAAAATCTGCAGTTTTTGTAGCGAAATATACCTTAAGAGATATATAGAACATGATTTTGAAAAGAAATTTTGGCCTTTCATTCGGTTTTCAATTATTTATTTAAAATCAATGCAACAAGGTTTTTATTGATGATATGACAAGCCAAACAGTTAGACCTCTAAATTTTAATTTTTTTTCAAAGTTATCCTACCTTGTCTTCATTGTACCATAGAAGCAAGTTCATAAAATTTGGTTCGGTTCAGATATAGTTATAGCTCCAATATATATGTTTCGTTCGATTTGGGGTTTAAATCTCCCACATTTGTAATGGTGCCAGATACAGCCCAAAAATTCCACTTTCAAATTTTATCGAGATCGTATCTGATTAGGATATAGCTCCCTTATATATCTTTATCCGATATCACGTTTATTGTACACCAAATGGCTAATATCCGACCAAATTGACTGACTCTTGACAATTCCGAAATTTGTTGAAAATCTGTTCAGATATAGCTATAGCTCCCATATATATGTTTTATCCGATTTGGGGTTAAAGTCCCTCACATGCGTAATACGCATTCCACAACAATGAGATTTGATACCGGACGTCAGATACAGCTCGAAAATACCTCTGCCAAGCTTTATCGACATCGGTTCAGCTTTTTACATACCTTCGATATAAATCTTCATCCGATTTTACAGTTATTGTCTATCTGATATGTAATATCAGCCCAAATTGGATAGATTTTTTTTATATTCAACGGAATTTTTCCATTTGGTGAAACTCAGTCCGGTATATATATTGCTCCTATAAATATTTTCATACCCATACACATAGTGTTATGTGTTGGGGGTATTATAAGTTTGATTGGGCCAAAATTTATGTAATACCTCGAAATATTGATCCCCGACATAGGAAACTATTTATGGATCTTCCTATCTCGCCGAGCTGAGTCGATCCAGCTATGCATGTATGTCCATGTTAATTTGTAATCACGATACGTGTCGCCGATCCTCACGAAATTGAAAATGGAGGTGGGGTTAGGTTCAGAAAAAAGGTTGGACCAAAAACAGAAAAATTTCCTAATTTTGCTGTTGCTCCACAGGTTACCATTATGAACCAATCTACACGGAATTTTGCATGGAGTTACAGTTCAGGGCTAGGCAGAAGCCTACAAATTTGGAAGGTCAAAACGACGGAGTGCGTAAAGATTGGGCAAATGCACCCAGTCAAAAAGCTAAGGGTAACATCTGGGCAGGGCTCTAGGACATAATTTCAACAACGATATCTTCCAAGATGAATTCTGACATAAGGGGGCTTCCAACATATTGTAGTGTTGTAGTCATATCATGCACTATACAGCATTGTTATTTGGTACTAGAGGTACAAAAACCTCCGTCAAATTTGAGGA